CCCTTAATTATACAAACGTAGACACCTCCATATTTCTTCTCGTCTTGATACTTTAAATACCCAGTGCGTATTGCAGAATTAGAAAATGATGTGGTTTGATACATTTGAAGACGGCCAGATTTGTCCTTTTTTGAGAGGCAAAAGCTATAATTTTGGCACAACTTGATCAACTCCTCAGTTGAGAAAAAGAAAGCTCTTGAAAAACTAGTGCTTTTCTAGGTCACAATCGATCGGTTCCAGTTTGATGAAACAGCCATGGCCATCTGCCAGTCTGAAGGCTTACCACGCGGGTGGTTGGAGGGCGCCATATTATTGGCTTTGGCAAGTCCTACTTCTTTACTTTCCACCTATTGATTCTGTCTGTCTTACATTTTCACACCACTAAATGGCCAGGCCATTCCCAACGGGGGGAAATTAATATATTTTTATGCACAGTAGAATTATAAATGGGCTGATTCACCGATGTCATGTTCAAAACTGTGCCTAAACTGCAACAGGGAGCTGCTACTTTTTCTTTCCTTATCCTAACTATCGTCATTTCCCCTCTAATTCTTTTGTTTGTTTTTCACTCTCTTGTGGCCCGCTAGTGCCTTGATAGCCGTAAGCAGACTTTGTGCTGTTGAAGCTAGAGAGGTGATCAGAGTAAGCCTGATTCCCTGTTAGGACTTCTCTGTTGACGCCCCCCCCCCCCCCCTTGGCGCTCATATGACCTTATATAATATTCAGTTGCGAGCGCCGTAAGTACTCTACTAAAACTAAAAACTAAATGGCCATAATTGTGTCGGTGTGCTTCTCTTTACTCAAACAAACAAGAAGGCTACTACAACTACCTATTGCGGGGTCAGATCGTTTGTTTACGGACAGTTGGAGGGCGCCACGTAGGTCCTACAAGTACATCATTACTTTCATTCTGTTGTTTCTGTCTGTCTGTCTTACTTTTTCTCATTAGCTCTGAATGACAATTATTTTACCGATGTGCTTCTCTTTATTCAGACAAGGTAATAAACGAACACCGTGCAGAATGCTACAAGCTCTAACGGACTTCCGGGTCAAATTTGACAAAGGAAAGCAGAAATCAGTTTGATATAATGTGCAGTGGCCAGTGCTTCTGCTCAACCCGATCTGACCGATCCGATCCGATCCGATCCGAATAGATTATGCTTTTTGGCCTATGGACATCTGCACTAACGCTTTGGTTGAAGCCTAATGTTCCGTCTTCGAAGAGACTTTTTTTTTATAGGTTGGCGTTGTTTTATCTCATAAAAAAACGAGGGGAGAGAAACAGGTAGAAGTACCGGTAACTATATTTTAAGTAATATGAACTCAGTATTATCATATTATGTCGTACATCATAATGGTGATACTATTGATGAGATAATGCTAATTCTAATAATACTACTAATAATAATAATAATAAAGTAACGTCAATAACAATAATAAGTAGTAACAATAGCAGTAATAATTAAATGATACATTTGTAATAAAAATAGTGATAATAAAAATAATAATAATAATAACCATCATGATGATCATACTAATACTAATAATGATGATGATAATAATAAGAAGAATAATAATAATAGTAATAAAAATAATAATAATAGTAATAACATATTATAATGATACTACTACTACTACTACTACTACTACTACTACTACTACTACTACTACTACTACTACTACTATTAATAGTGTACTAAAAATAATATTTTAGATTTTAATAAGCATTAAGCATCTATTTATTTTATACTAGTTTGTTGCAGTCTGGGTCTAAGACCTACGCGCTGTAAAGTAATCATTTTTTATGTTAGTGGTGATGATGTTTATGCATGTGTCTTGATAATATGATCATCAGAAGGTTTTGGAGGGGGGAGGGGGGGATTTTTATTTTCGGAAAGTTGTAAGCTGTTTGATGATGTAGGGCTTGATAAGTCACAATTATCTGCGTCCATAACAGGGACTGTGTCGTTGTGCTGACTGCTTGTTCGTTTTATCTGTGATTCTATTAATTTTCAAAAAATAAACACATACTGTTCTTCCCGTCCGAAGGACTCTCAAGAAGACGCCCTTCTCCGCCCTCCCCCCTCTCTCTCTCTCCACACAC